ATCTCACAATTGTCCAAGCGTGAAAGATTTTTAAAAGGTTTTTCTATCTAATAATTTACGACTATTTATTCTATTGTTATTTGCTCGCCGAAAATAACAATAGTAATATATATAAACATTGATAATACTAATGAAGAATATGGAAAATAAATTTTAATATCGTATATTTATTATAAGTTGCTTATTCTTCGGCTTGTGTTCTTTTATAAAAGCTAACTCGACACGTTGCATCTCTGTGCATTTACTACGAACCATTTTGGTGAATGGCGGTCCTCCAACACACGGTTTTCTAGAAACATTTTGCCAGGCATAAACCATATTGTAGAATTACACCCAGCAACAGTATTTCCGAACCGATACGATATATAAAACCTTTAAGAAAGGAGTTTATCCCTTCTTCAATGCTGACAACACACTTGTAATTTCCCTAGTGTAGCGGGTACTCATGGGTGGCGGTAATCACTTACCATCAGGTGAGCCGCAAGTTTCTTTGCCTCCTATGCTATAAACATATACAGTAAAATAAGCTGTTGGCGACTGAAAAACTAAGTACTATTATTGATTAAGGGAAGCGACAACTAATGTACCTATTTTTGAAATAAAATACACCTGACTTTATTCGTAATAGAGTAAATAATTGAAGTATAATTTAAAACATTTTGAAAATGAAATTCCTTTAAAAATTAATACCCTTTTCACTGAAAGTAGCACTGTCCATATTTATTTAACATCAATGGACAGAACCAATTACACATGACAGGATGCCTAAAGGCAGTTTCAGTCAAACAACACAGTGAAATTTGCAGGTGATTGTTTCCGTCTTTCTGTACCTATCATTTTCGATTCAATGGTTTCAATTTAAACTGTAGTGATTTTCATGAATATTCGTATTATATTATTTAAAATTCGTATTGAATATATAAATAAGTAATTTTCTTTACACATCATACAACAAATGTTCGACAATATCGTACCAACGAAGTACATAATGTTGCTTTTAAAACTATTACTTGTTTGTACAATTTTATAAATATTTCTAACACATTTGTGAAGCCTTTTAAAAATGAAAATGCTTTGATAACTATTTAGAATTCAACGTGTTCATGAAAGTAAACTGAATGTTAAATTAGTAATCCCACCGCAACATTTGTATATATGAAAATGAATTCCTATTTTCCGGCTAACGTCTGAGCGTCTGAACCGATTTCGCTACTTCTTTTTTTGTTGGGTTTGTGATTGTGTGGAGAAGGAATTGAATATTCATAGATAAGACACGACATTGTCTGTCGGGTCAGCTAGTGTAGAATAAATATATACGTAAATATTATCTTATTACCTGTATATACCGATAACATTATTTTCCAAGTAACAACTATATTATGTATAAAGAATTGAGTTACTAATGTGTGAACGAAGTATGAATTGTGTGTAAAGATTGAAGCCAACAACAGCCCATTATCTCTGTCTACCCCGTAATGAAACAAACGTTCTATATATATAAAAATCAATAAACTAATATACATATGTGAGAGCATTTCTTCAGAATAGTTACACCAAATTTCCTCATTATTTTAGGTACTGTCATTATTAGGTATTTCAGGTGTACATAGGCTAATGTAATCATTTACCATCGGATGGCAAATGATGGCATGCTTATTTGCCACCATATATAGTAGTATAAAAAAATTAGGACAAGTATTGTATGAAAGAAAGTGACAAGATTTGATGAATGTCTCGTAGCAGATGCGCGATATAGATATATAATTTTATAATATATATACAATCATCATTTCCCGTAACTGTCCTTCAAAAATAGCACATATTTTGCTTTAACTACCTACTGTGCAGGTATGAGACGCGGTTAGCCACGTAGGCGTTCGTCTCCTTTCTAATTAGAACATAGTATTGAGGTTCTAATTAGATACTAGTAGATATTGTGAGTATTCACAGTATATCTATATATATAAATAAAATTGGAGTGTCTGTTTGTAATATTGAAATAACTGTTTTTTACTACATGCTTATCAATATAAATACAGTATATACACTAAAATAACATTTTTTTACAATTTTTGTCTATCTTTGTTCCGGCTAATCTCTGAAATGGCTGGACCGATTTTGACGGAACTTTTATTGGTAGGTAGCTGATGTACTATGTATTTTTTTTTAAATAAAAGTAGCCTAAGTTACTACTTAGGCTACTTTTATTTAAAAAAAATATTTTAGAAAATTTAAGTTAAATTCCACACGGACGAAGTCGTGGATACAGATAGTTAAATATATAGTGTATTATATAATATAAATAAATAGAATAGAATTTGATACAATTTGGATCAAATATTGTGTTCACATTTCAATGGATGTCATCCGGGAAGGATAATCTAAAAATAAAATTTGACAAGTTAGGTAACATGACCTTTCCGTGTAGGATAATATCTCTAATTGTCAAATATTGCTTTCACAAAAATAAAAACAAGCATCTAGTCCTATACTAACTAAAGTCATAGTCTGAACCCAATCTTTGTTGAAAGATTGGGTTCAGACTATGACTTTAGTAGGGAGACCAAATTCACGACCATTGGAACGTAAGTCAATTGGTCAAAGTAAGTTCGACGTCATTCGAATAAACTAACATGTAATACGAATGTCTTTTCTTTGGTTCCTTTCTTATTATTCTTTATCATTTTTTCCTGGTTCTATGTAATTCCGACATGTTTTCAACAGACTATGACATATGAGTTTTAAAAATATTAAAGTATCTTATGGCATCGCGTGACACCCTTGATGTGGAGTGACTATAAGCTACAGTAACTGTTTACCATCACCCGGACCCAATGTTTTATCTAACATTAGAATAAAAATAAAGATAACCGAATAAGACAATTGATTATTTGTCGTTCCGTTTTATTTGTTTGATTAGGGAAAATCTGCAGGAAACTCGTTCCGCAAACGATACGTTCTCAACGGGCGACTCCTCTAAATACGTACATTAATTTATTTAACAAATTGTACTGATAGCACCTACGTAGATACACCGAACTTCCATGATTTGCCAAAATTCCATTAAGCTTAACGTTGTGCTTGTAAGCATCCACAGATTTAGCAGTGCGGTTCGTTTTAATCCATCTGTGCACTTAGACTTAATAGTGAACTAGGAACTCTATACTCAGTTGGTCTGTATGTTGCTTCCAATTTCTCTCTGGATCTCATACGGTTCTCTGCACTTACAGTCTCTACTAACGATACACCCTACAAGGAACAGTATATTTTCGATTTTGAAACACTGAATTAATTACTTATAAACGATTATTAATTACTTACAATAAGAAAAATACAATAATAAGCTACTTATAATGAAATAAATATGCACGTCGAGGTGGAATTTAAAATATAACACATTTTTTATATAATTATAACGGTAAAGAAGATGACGGACTTAACGCCTATGATACGTCTCATAACTTACCATTCCTGAAAATTATGATGTCATGCTCTTAGACGAGATTGAGGTACCTGTAAGAGAGTGAGGTAATGATGACTAGAAGCAAAGTATAACTCGATGTTCGTCATATACATATAACATAAGAATACGATAAGATAGTTTTTTTTGTATTCCACTTAACGTCATTAGCTGTGTATAGTTATATCAAAAGTATTGCTGCTTTTATGTTAAAAAAATCATTGTTACCATTGCAAATAAAACTGAACATTTAATCTGCTACACAACTCTGGTAATCTGCGGTAGCCAGAATCTCAATATCAAAATATATAAAGGGTTTTTTTATAAATTTTCATTTTATGGTAGACTATCCTCTAGTTGTTTCTCCTGAATCTTTATGAGAATATATATATATATCTATATATATATATATATTATGTAGGTATAGGTATAAAAATCTTCTTAAAATAGAACAATACTTTCTTACTTATGTTTAGTTTCAACTTCATCTAGTACTTTTTATACTGATACAAATGAATATATATTGATAGCTAACTTCTTTCATATTTCTTTAGGCATAAATTCGTGCTTTCAATATTGTAATTTTTGTTGTCACTTTAAGGATCATATTCACAAATATAGGCAGGTTGAGATAAGATAACGATGGATACAATGCCATCATTATTTTTCTTCGTTCGTACTTGATTCTCCATGCTGTTTTTACAACGTGAAGAATAAAATATGATTTCATTATTAGAAAAGATGTTGAGATTTTTTTTAAGGTATTGATAATATAATCTTAGATAAAATTGAATAAGTATAGGTTTTTAATCATTGATTACGACTGCGGAGTTTCTATAATGGACATTTATTGTTATTAATTTGTAATATCATAGAATAACTATTAAATTCTTCTATGATAATAGTAATTTTCAACTACAATCTTATTACACTATAATCAAAAATTACTACTACTAGCTGGTACTATGCTAGCTAGTTGAATATAGGCAGTATTATTAAATTAATATCCATTGAGAACTGACTGAAGTCTCACGTATTTTTATAAATAAAAATTTAAATTGTATTAATATAATCAAATAATCCTCTGAAATACAGTTAATTGAATTAATGTTTACTTAATTAACTAAAGTTACTTCCAAATTTACAATTACATAACAGATTAATACACTGTCGCGAGTTCAATCTTATTACAAACATTGAGGATCATAAGCATATTTGATTGTATAGGTCTTGGATATTTCGCTGATAGTGCTTTATAATAAACGGTTTACCAATGTCTCTAATGCTTTTCCTTTCCATTTTTATAATATATATATTATTATGTAGAGGTTTATAAAAAAATGTTTATAAGTATTTCTATGGTTTGTCTCATTATTTTGGAATTATAATAGATATTGTGTATGGTGTAGATAAACTGGGGTTATTATTAATAATATTGTTTTTTTAACAGCGCTTTGTCTGGGACATCGTTACGCCGGTGGGCCGTGGAGAATTGCTGCTACTGCAGTTTATGTCAAAACAGCGATGGGGTAACCCTCGAATGTTGGGGATCTACCGTCTCGGCCTCCAGATTCTCGTCAATGATGGACAACTCGGTGTCACTGATACACTGGTTGACGACAACAATAAACCTGTGCCGGTAAGTAATTTTCTTATCTATATATACCTATTTACTTGTATTCATCGTCATTTAAGTTCAAATCACGACGACTCTGTTAAATAATACATCTAACTCTCTCATTGCATACGATGTTATGCGTCCTGTAATTCAGATTTCTTTGATGTTAAACCTACAACGAGAATCACTAGTATTTTTATATATTACTTTTGAAATATAAAATATACCCATAATATATGTGCATCTCAAAAGTTGCGCACACGACGGCGGCGGCGGCGATATGAAATAAAGTCATATCAAAACAAATCAAATATTTATTTATACAGAACTTTTCAGCATTTTGCGCATGTTAGAATTTACTACTCATATCACTACACAGCACTATCCCTACCCTCTACTTCAGTCAGCTACTTGAGTTAATAAGAACTGGCAAGAGACGAGGTTAATGAGTACTTGTAAAAACTATTGTACCATGTTTAAGTGGCATTAGTCACGGAACAACGTGAAACGTTCCTTATAATTAATCCCTTTCAATTGCTAATAAAGGATGAACAGTAACCCCTTGGTAAATGCTCTATAACAAATGCGTCGCACGTAGTTGTCGTCCTGTGGTAGCTAGCAATTTAGCGCTTGTTATAAGCGACCGAGCGCTTCCAATACTTAATATTGTGCGCACTAATAATGATTATTATTAAGGTTAAAGAAATTCTTTACTTTGAGCTGATATATCAACTCAAAGTAATTGATAATGTCAATATTTTCTCAAATATATATTAAGATATATGGACGATTGTACAAAATCACAATCAATTTATGTTATCTAGTTATATATGGAATTTTGAAAAGGAAAACCTATAATATAAATATAATTTAAACATTCAGAACCTAATAGTAAAAAACTAAACTTCATTTGTATATAAATCTATAAATAATAAGAATATACAAATGTGATGAATGAATTTAGTAAAATTCCTATGAATAAATAATAAGAAGCAATTAGAGAGGATCAGATGTGGTGAAGTAAAAAATACCGTACATATTTGATACCTGTTGATAAGCAGGTAACAAACATCAAATACATAGAAAAATGTAAGAATATTGTACTGAATTATTAAAGGAGTTCCTAAAGATTACATACATACTAATGTACCTGCGACTTTTTCTATATCCCTATGGATCGTGACAATACATTTTATATCACAAACGTTGACATAGATACGAAATAATGAAATATTAGGAATGTATTATCACTAGTGATTTAGTACTATATATAACTCGAAACGACGGTCATTTTATTTGAGACAAAAGGTAACTCATCTATCTTGTATGTTCTCTTGAACTTCACATTAAATTTCATTATGAATCGTTCAGCCGTTTGGCGTACAGTAAGATAGAAATATTTTCGAAATCATAACATTAGAAACGGATAACACTAACTGAAACTTATGATCATTATCAGCAAACCAGCACAGAAACTAAGTAAAAGGAAAATATACATTATACAACTTTATTAGATCTGTTCTTATAAACTTGTGTATTTGTTATAAAAGCTAAAGAAGATACAAACTCCATTTACTGGCTATTATAAAACAACAATGCTATACAAAACTTGTTAAAATACTTTTCTACGGGTTGGTAGGTATTAAAAAATTCAATGTATTGTATTAATGTATTACCTTAAGTTATAAATATATAACAAACACTATAACAAATGTAAATAACAATATAATATATAAAATTATAATGTAGTATATTGTGGTGATTTAGCACTTTAAATATAAGACCGTATTTTTTTAAGATTAGTAGGAAACCATAAATTTTGATAGTATTAAAAATATATTCTCTTCCCAATGGAAGTGATTAACTTTATAAGAAGTTATCTTACTCGAATCCCACATCTTATGATACGTTCTAAGGACATTTCATATTACACCCCTATAGGTCAGCATTACCGTGTGGAAAATGTTCCAATCTCCTTTTGCAATATCTTTAATCCTAACTAAACCTGACGCTAGAATTTATCTACCCATTAAAACTTTTGATTTTATCCCTTCATATATGGCGTAAATAATTTACGACTTGTATTTGTAATTTGATTTGAATTTGTAAGCAAACAGTAATTTGTAAAATTGGGATTAATGTTATAATAATGTTTGTAATTAATAATAATAGTAGATATTATACTCTAAAAGTTACGAGTTCGAATCTAGACGACATTAAAAAATATTTTTAATCAAACACCGAAAACAAAGATCGATCAATCCGAGAGAAAGAAATATGTTCACGGCCTGCTATGTTTCAGTTGACTATGTCTCTGTCTACGCTGTCTTTCATAACAGTTCACAAGATATTGATATAAACATACATTAGGCATTCAAACAGATAGCTATTAGGGTGGCTCTCGAAAAACAATCATTCTACCACTAGAGAGAACGCAACGTTCCCTACTTAAAATAATAAAATTTAAACCTTACCGATTTTCCACAAAAGAATTATACTTGGAATGTGACGTACTAACAGTAAGGCAATTATATGTAAAACATTTAATGAAGTATCAACACAAAACTGTTATATATAATCAGGAAGCATATAAAAATCTAAGACGAAAGGACAGGGTTTGCCTAACAAAAAAGTTTAACACTTACTTCATTACAAAGTTTCAATGCTTTGTTGGACCGCGAATATATAATAAGATAAATAAAATATTAGATATACATCACTTAAATTTACACCAATTATTAAACAAATTAGTACCATGGTTAAAAACGCTCGATTACGATACTACGGAACAATTGTTTAGAATATTATCCTAATTTAAATAATATAACGTAAAATAAAAATAATTAAATAATTATATATATACATATGTTTATATATTGTATGTAGTGTGTGAATATATATGTATATATCTATATGCGAAATATATTTGTTGTATGTATTGATATGTTTAATGAATATAAACAACACTTAATGTATTATGTGGTTGTGCGTATATGTAACATATAAATATATATATAACCTTTTTTTTTTTTTTTTGTAAAAAACATGTTTTATTAAAATATAAGATAAGTTTCTACATTTAGTGGTCGCACTTGCAAATATCTATGCACCGATTGTAGTTGGACCATACGATGTGACGCATTCATTGCCTCAGCGATACGATTTATTTTATTTTTAAGTATACCCTACATTTGTCTTATTTTTTCGTTCACCTCTAAAGAATCGTATAGCATGTTATCTTTAGGTGGGCAATGGTGTCTGAGATACAGGCTAGGCCTAGTTTAGACACTACTGCACTGGACTTGATATTAAATAGTTAAGAACTATTGTATATATATGAATTAATATAGATATATAACCTTAGTTAAGTCCCTTTTGTATTTGTTTTTTTTTTTTTGCACAATAAAGTTATTATTATTATTATTAGTTTATTAGTCGACCTGCTCTATTAGTTTGTTAGTCGTGGTCTACAGTTAGTATATTAAACTGAAATGCCCGTAAGTCAACACGAACTTCAATTTGAAAACTTCGAAGTTACTTGATTGGAACTGATTATATTTACCGCTACTCATTTGTGTAACAACCATCTTAGTCTTATAGGATTTAAAGTTTAACCAAGATATATGTACATGAACTACACTTACATTTTATCACAAAAGTTGACACTACATCTTAGATAATTCATATTTTTCATTTATGAAATAGAAAATAAGGTAGACTGGGGAATAAATGTACACATATAAATAAAATTAGAGTGTCTGTTTGTAATGTTGAAATAACCGTTTATGAATATAAATACGGTACATACATACACCAAAATAACATTTTTTATAATTTTTGTCTGTCTGTTTGTTCCGCCTAATCTCTGAAATGGCTAGACCGATTTTGACGGGACTTTTATTGGCAGGTAGCTAATGTAATAAGGAGTAACTTAGGCTACTTTTATTTTAGAATATCTGTTTTATTTAAAAAAAATAAAATATAATTCCACTTGGACGAAGTCGCGGGTTAAATAAAAGTGCCGATGTTAAAAATGGGCATAGGCATGCTATATTGCGTATCTCTGCTCAAACAGTGTCAAAAGTAATAAACTGAGCACAAAAAGATGTTTGAAATTTATCCTAGTTTTATTTTTCGTGCGGAAATAATGTGAATATGTCAGAGTGTCAATATCAGGAAAGATGTATATTGATGTACGTTGATCAGATACTACTAGTACTATTAAATTAATAAATGTTTATTCATTAATTTATATTTATAATTATAGTAGAAGGTCTTACATTTTTATATTTCATTAAATATTATCGCCAATTCTGAAACCATATTTATGATTTTTTATTAATAGAGTACTTTGTTTTTGTGTCTTAAATGAAATCTATAGTTTTTCATGTAATTATTCTATATACGTAGCAAAATATTATTGCTGTAAAATAAAGTAGATATTCTTCGTAATTAAAGCAAAACATTTAGAAATATATCATATAAGATTAGGTACTTCGTACCTGAAGGCTTACGAGAATAAAATCATCCATAACCATTTGGTTATGGCTTCCGTAGGAACATTCGCCTTTTTTCCACTAAAACTATTCTTATGTAAGATGAGAGGATATGCGAGTCCTTTTCCTCGCATTCGCACCGCTGTTTATAACATCAATGGCGTGAGATTCAAAAGCTAAACGAGCCTGACAATTTACTAGGGCTGACATGTTAAAAAAATTCCGCTCAATTTCACAAGTCAACATTTTAACTTTTAAACTTAATAATCTCGTGTCTGCTCGGCTCGGATTTTCAATCTCGTATATTATACTATTTAGACGATGGGCACGAGCGGGGATATGCAACAGTTACTTGTTGCGCTACATGCAATTTATAGAGTAATCATTTTGTATACTCGTGAACATGCTGCTTGTGGGGTTTGGCATGTTCGGGTTACGGCCACTGATTGGACTTCTTTTGACAGAATTGCAATGATATGAATTTAAAAATGAATCTGTATTTTTGTAGACATGTTAATAAGCTTA